GGGAAGGGATTTACTCCTGGCTCTCCCATTTAGGTTTTGCTAAATCCCCTATCCTGGAGCTTCAGCAAGTCAGGGCAAACAACAGAGCCAATCAAAGATTTCCCAATCCTTGCTGAACAACAAAATCTGCCGTTTCCACCCATTTCTGAGCGCCTTCCAAAAAACCCACAGTGCGTGGGGGCCGGGGTCATCTGACGAAGCAAATGTAGGCAAATCTCACTGAGCTGCTTTCCTGACTGAATAATGACTCCAATTTCAGCATGGAAACCATTCCAGGCAGGAGGAAATGCTCTATTCTGGAACAGGATTTTCATTTTTCCATCCCCTGGCAAAGCTGACGCTTAGGTTTGTTTCGTGCTGGAGGAAATCCGGGCTGGAGAGGGTTAAAGTCCAGCAGGGATCAGGAGGGTTGGGCACATGGAGAGGGAGGAATGGGAATATTTGGAATATTGGTCAGTTCCAGTTGGGTTTCTGCTCCTGCATGGATCTGTCCAAAGGAGGGGTTGGGATGGGTCCAGCTGTGAAAAGGCTTTTTCCTTCTTGATTGGGGCAGAAAACATCCAAAAAGCATCCAAAACCCATCCAAAAACATCCAAAAAACATCCAAAACCATCCAAAAAGCATGCAAGAAGCATCCAAAAAAATCCAAAAAACCTCCAAAAACATTCAGAAAACACCCAAAAATCACCCAAAAAAAAAAAATCCAAAAAGCATCCAAAAACATCCAAAATATCCAAAAATCATCCAAAAACCATCCAAAAAACAACAGAATAGCCCAGTGCTGCTGGCAGGATTTATAAATTCAGGGCAAAGGAGGCAAAGGGGGAGGAATTCCTGAGCAGGACAGGGATGCTGGAGGGAACTAGGAAAATTTTCATGTGGGAATGGTTCCTGTGTCCCTGCAGGAGGAATTGCTTCAGGGCAGTTCCATAAATCAGGGAAATCCTAAATCCTTGGCAGAGAGAGGGAAAATCCCAAACCTTGGGCAGAGAGAGGGAAATCTCAAATCCCAGACAGAGGGAAATCCCAAATCCCAAATGCCAAATCACATGCAGAGAGGGAAAAGAGCTCCCTCTGATCCCTCTGCTGGATCAGAGAGGAGAATTCAGCCCCATTGGTACTTTAAGAGCTTTGTTTTTCTGGCACCACAAAGTGTAAGAGAAGTTGTGTTTGGACACTTGGGAAAAGTCTCTGCACAATTTATTGCCAGATTTATTTGCTTTTATCATGACTTACTTGGCTTGTTGGGAACACTTTAACTTTTAGGTTGGTTTTTTAATGTAAAAAGAGTAATGCTGCTCATTTTTAATAATTCCTTATTTGAAAAATAAAAAAGATATTTCAGAACCCACAGCTTTTCACTGGTTTAAGATCTCATTTTAACATCTAAATTATCCTAATCAGTTTTGAAATACTGACTCATCCCTGCCTGCTGCTGTCCACATCTCCTAATGTGTTCTGACAGCAGCAGTGTGTTTATTTCAGAGAAGAATTTAATGTTTGGTCCTAACTTTCTTTTTTTTTCTTTCCCCTCCTCTCTTTTTCATTTCTATTATTGTCATAAAAAGATTTAAAGTCCCTTTTGGCCTCGCGTGCAGAGCATAAAACACAAAACCCTTCCTGAAAGGTAATTTTCCAGGAATGAAACCCACAAGAATTGTGTGTCAGGCTTTGCTCTTCAGTTTTGCTGCTACAAAACTGATTTTTTTTTGATAGCTCTGAAGGGCCTGAATCCCAAAAATTGACATGGAAAATCTCAGGGATTTGCAATCAGCTCAGGGGGAATGGGAATTCTGAGTTTGAGTTAGGGCACAATAGAGGTGATCACAAGAGGAAGAGGTAAAATCCTGAGGATTAAGGGCATTTTGGGAGAGGCTCCTGCAGGTAAATGGGGAAATGTTATAGGAATAAATAATTAATAATAAATAATAATTAATGTTATAGGAATAAATAATATCCTCCACCTCATCAGGGATGTCTTGCAAACAGGAATTCAGGCAGTTCCAGGTGTAAACCACAGAAATATCTGTGTGAGTGTGAGGGGAATGGGGAAACGTTAAAGGAATAAATAATTATTAATAAATAATAATTAATAAATAAATAATGTTACAAGAATAAATAATATCCTCCACTCGATCAGGGATGTCCTGCAAGCAGGAATTCGGGCAATTCCAGGTGTAAACCACAGAAATATCTGTGTGAGTGTGAGGGGATGGGAAATCATTCCTGCTTTTGTGTGTGCTGCTTGGATTTCCCAAAGAAAAGACTCACCTGGGTTTACCTGGTTGGATTTCCAAAGGAAAATCCTGAAGGGAAAAGATTCACCTAGGTCTACCTGGTTGGATTTCCTAAGGAAAATGTCAAAGGGAAAAGATTCACTTGGGTTTACCTGACCATGTGTTTCTTTGTTCTTCAAAGTTCTCCTAAGCCTTCTGATGTTTACATTCTTGTAAAGAACTTTCTCACGCATTTTTATGTAAACAATTATTATTTTACATTCTTTTCTGGAGGAGGAGAAATTTGATGGACTGTTGGTTTGTCCAGTGTCATTGGAGAGGTGGCACTGTCGCCCTCTAATCCAGGGTCAGTTTTGAGAATCTATAAGTGTTGGAGTCAGAAAATAAACTTCCTTTCTCTTTACCTTGGAAATTCCAGTGCCCATGTCATTTTATTTCGTGTCCTGTGTGAGAGGTTTCCATGGGGAGAGAGCCACTCCCAGCCTCAAAATCTCCCTGACACCCAAAAAAAATTCCAGATCACACATTCCAGACACCCAAAAAACATCCAGATCACACATTCCAGACACAACCTGCCAGGAGAAATCCGCCCTGGGTTTTGTGGGGCTGGGATTTCCTCCTCTCTGCCTTGCCCTAAATAGCAAATTCAGTGGAATAACTTGGGGTCACTGGGAGTTCTCCAGCTGGGGGATCCTCATGGGCTCGGCTGCTGCTCCCCCTCCATTCCTGCTGGAGCCGTGGTGGGAGCCTGGGAGTTCCCAACTTCTCCAAAATCTGACAATATTTTTGTTCTTTCTTACAAAACTCGGATTGAATAAAGCCTGAAGGGATTTAGATTGACAAGATGGAAATTGGCATCAGCTTTAGGGAGTAAAACACTGGAAGTTGTGATGGTGTTTTGTTGTGATGGTGTTTTGTTGTGAAAGCACCCAGAGAAGGGGCTGAAAGCACTGCAGTGGTTTGAGGGTGGCTGTGATTTCCCAGCACAGCTTGGGGAGTGTTTGCACACACAGAGCTCCGTGCTGAGGGACAGCTCCCAGGATTTAATAGAAATAAAAGAATGTCCCCCCAGGATTTAATGGAAATAAAAGAATGTTCCCCAGGATTTAATAGAAATAAAACAATGTTCTCATTCTTCTGTCACCTCCTAGACATGGGAATGTGGTGTTTGTGAGGTCCCCAGGAGGAGGTGAGAGATGAGAATCTAACTCCAAGTTCTCAGAAGGCTGATTTATTATTTTATGCTATGTCATATATATTATATTATATTATATTATATTATATTATATTATATTATACATCATCTCATATCATATCATATATCATATCATATCCTATCATATCATATTATGCCATACTAACATTATACTAAAGAAAGAGAGAGGATACATCACAAAACTTTACAAGAATAAATAATGAAAACTCATGACTGACTCCTCAGAGTCAGACACAGCTGGATGGTGATTGGTCATTAATTAAAAACAATTGTAATATAACCAATTAAACAATCACAAGTTGGTAAACAATGTCCAAGCCACATTCCAAAGCAGCCAAACACAGGAGAAGCAAATCAGATAATTATTGCTTTCATTTTTCTCTGAGGCTTCTCAGCTTCCCAGGAGAAAATCCTGGGCAAAGGGGATTTTTCGGAAAATATCATGGTGACAATTTAGGGGTTCAGTTTTCCTTCACTGCACCACAACTTCCCTCTCATCTGCCTCAATTTCGTTGGTTTGGGTTCCATCAGCTCCTGGTGCTGTTCCCTCCCAGCTCCCTCCATCCCCACACGTGTCCTGTTCTCCCCTGGCTCTGCTCCCTGCTCTCCCTGCAGAAATCAATCCCTCCTCACCCACACTTGTCGCTTCCCTCTGAATTTCCGCCAAAAACTGACAAAGTGCTGAAATGAATTCAGCATTGCCGGAGATCAATGGGAATTTCCTGGGTCTGACAGAAGCAAGGAGGGTTGGACAGGGTGGGAGCTGTTCCAAAGGCAAAGCCTCTGCTCCAGGGCCTCGGGAATTTGGGAACTGAGGGACCTGGGAATTGAGCCCCTGATGGCAGCTGAGGGTGTGGAGAAGTGCTGAAAACTTCTCATGCACATCCTGCAGCTTGTGAACCCTCAGGTCCCCACTTGTTTTCTGGTGGTTTTGGGGCTGTTTTGTGGCATTTGGCAGCCCTTACGCTTCCATTATTTAATTTTTTTTCCCCTCTGTGCACGTGGTCTTTCAAAGCCCAACCCGGCAGCTCTGCAAGCACTCCTGGAATAAAACTGATCCTAAAAACCCTGGAGTAAAATTGATCCTAAATAAAACCTGGACTAAAACTGACCCTGAAAAAACCTGGAGTAAAATCGATCCTAAATAAAACCCGGAGGAAAACCGATCCTGAGAAAAACCAACCCTAAATAAAACGTAGAGTAAAACTGATCCTAAATACAACCCAGAGGAAAACTGATCCTAAATAAAACTCGGAGTAAAATCCATCCTAAATAAAACCTGGAGGAAAACCGATCCTAAATAAACCTGGAGTAAAACCCATCCGAAGGAAAACCCAGAGTAAAACGGATCTTAAATAAAACCCAGAGTAGAACCAATCTGGAGGAAAACCAACCCTAAATAAAACTCAGAATAAAACCAATCTGAAATAAAACCCAGAGGAAAACCCATCCTAAATGAACCCCAAAGTTGATTTTTCCCTCCAGCAATAAAACGAGATGCCAGAAGAACAATGAAAAACGGGATTTTTCCTCTGTTTGCCTTTCAGGACATGAGAACAGCGAGGCCCTGCCCGAGTCCCTGCCCTCGGCGCCGGGGACCCTGCCCCATTTCCTGGAGGAGCCTGACGATTCCTACATCATCAAGAGCAACCCCATCGTGCTGCGCTGCAGGGCCGTGCCCGCCATGCAGATCTTCTTCAAGTGCAACGGCGAGTGGGTGCACCAGAACGAGCACGTGTCCCACGAGAGCCTGGACGAGGCCACAGGTGAGCAGGGGCTTACCCCAGGTGTGCAGGAGCTGCTCCTGGGACAGAGGAGCTGCTCTCAGGTGAGCAGGAGCCACTCCCAGGTGAACAGGAGCTACTCCTGGGGGAGCAAGAGGTGCCTCCAAGTGAGCAGGAACGGCCCCAGGTGAGCAGGAACTGCCCCATGTGAGCAGGAATGGCCCCAGGTGAGCAGGAATGGCCCCAGGTGAGCAGGAGGTACCCCAGGTGAGCAGGAGCTGGGAACAAGGAAGCTCATTTTTGTGGGATTCCTGCTGGGTTTGTCCCCAGCCCCAGTTTTTATGGAATTCCTGTTGTGTTGGATTCTGGGGTTCCCCCCAGTCCCAGTTCCCAGACCCTGGGATTTGCCCCCAGTCCCTGTTTTTGTGGGATTCCTGCTGGGTTGGACCCTGGGGTTGCCCCCAGTCCCAGTTCTTATGGAATTCCTGCTGGATTGAACCCTGGAATTTCCCCCCAGCCCCAGTTTTTGCGGGATTTTTGTTGGGTTGAACCCTGGAGTTTCCCCCCAGCCCCAGCTCTTATTGGATTTTTTTGGGGGTTGGACCTCAGAGTTTGCCCCCAGCCCCAGTTTTTATGGCATTTTTATTAGGTTGGACCCTGGAGTTTGCCCCCAGCCTTTATAGAATTCCTGATGCGTTGGACCCCGGAGTTTGCCCCCAGCCCCAGTTTTTGTGGGATTCCTGCTGGGTTTGCCCCCAGCCCCAGTTTTTGTGAGATTCCTTTGGGTTTGCCCCCAGCCCCAGTTTTTATGGGATTTTTGTTGGGTTGAACACTGGAGTTTGCACCCAGCCCCAGCCAGGGCAGGATTTGGGGTGGGAATAACCTGAGCAGGAGAAATCCACAGCACCCAGAGCGTGTGAAAGAGAAGAGAAGAATAGAGAGATTTGGGAGTGATCAGGAGATTTTATCAGCTCCGAGCAGAGCCTGCATCTCCTCTCATTTAGCTGATAAGTATTGCAGACCAATTTGATGCTGTGGCTCCACAATTCTGGTTGTTATTGCTTTCTCCCCTCTCCCCTCCCAGCATTGCTAGGCAACCCCCAGCCTTGGCAGCAGCGCTCTGTGTACAACACCTTCTCCAGCAACACAAGAAATTCCTTTTTTAGAGGCAAAAATGCCATTTAAAAAGAAGTTACACCTCTTAAAGTAGTGCTTGGCATTCTTTTGAAGTGACACATTCTGAAGAAGTTTCGTATTAGAGGGTTTTTTTTTTTTGTAAATGCTAATCTGAATGAATTTTAATTTTTGCAGTTACCTTTTCAGAAATAATTTAATAGGCGTAACCTTTACTTCTAAAGGCACTGCTGAATCAATATGGGAGAAATGTCGTCCCTAAAAGCTTTCCCTCCATATGGTTACAGAAAATCTCTCTGTGAGTGCTGCAATTATGTTTTCTAAGCTTTGGGTTAATAACAGAACAAACCAAGATTGGTAACACGAGGTGGGGTTTAAATGGCATCAGTAACATTGGGGTTTGAGACACAGCAGCAGAGCTGGGTTTGGGTTGGGAGAAAATTCATCTGGCCAGCTCCCCTGTGTGAAAAACGCCAATCACTTGTTTTTAAAATTTTAAAGTTTAATTGTAATAAAATGGTTTTAAAAATAGCAATATAATTAGAGTAAGAAAAAATTTGGACAATATGAGACAATAGAAACAAAGAGTTACAGACATCTAGGTCTTCCCCTTTTGCCCTCTTTTTCTGGGCAAAATAAGCACGAAAAAAGACCCATGTTAACAGAGGATAAACCCTTAAAAGCAATAACCTGTTGCGTATTCATACACCTCATACATGATGCATAAATTCCATTCAAACACAGGATTCTGTCTGGTCAGTGTCAGCTTCTTCCTTAGAATCCCAACGTGAGCAAGGTGGGAAGAAGTTCGTTTCTCCTGATGAGGGAGCAATAAATTCTCTTTCTCTGAAAGATTTAGGTGGCTGCTATCTCAGGATGAGTCCTTTCTTTAAAAAAAGTATCTTACATAGCATCGTTTCTATTTTAACATTATGTTATAACCTAAAACTATATTTAACACATTACTTCAGAAAATTAATACAGCATAACTTTCTAACATAACACATATACATTTTAATATTTGTGAAAAGCCAAGAATAAAATAGGCATTTTTCACAGGGTGACCACAGAAAGGTTGCAGGGCTGGACTTAGTCCAGGGCTGGAGATGCCCCAAAAGCTCTGGACCCAAAACCCACTGCAGGGCAGTGTCCAGGTGGATCCTCAGAGCACAAAAATCCAGAGAGAGGCAACACTAAGGGGAATTCTGTCACCAGGATCCCATCCATAGCCAGGAATTCCTTTGGAATTCTTCCTCAGCCTTCAGAGCAGCAGCTGTTGGGATTTTTGGCATTCACGTGCAGTGCCCTCATTTCTGGAGTCCAGTCTGGGGCACAGCTGAGTCTGTCCCCAGGCACAGCCTGGATCTTCTCCAGCTGGCAAAACTGCTCTGGGTTTGGTGCCAAAAGTAGGGATTTTGGTTAAAGGGGGTTCTGGGCTTTTGAAATCACCTTCTTTTGAATATATTTAAATATGCTGACTGCATTATTTCTGAAATTATCTAGAATAAATGGGATCATTTTCATATTTTGTGCCACTGCAGTTCCCATTAGGACTCAAAGTTTTAAGAGGAGCATGAATAGGAATTTCCCTGATTTTGAGTATCGATGGTTTTCATGCTGGAAGTATAAGCTGGTTTTCTTTAATTAAACAGGGTCTGACCCTCTGCATCCTTCCAGTGCTTGTGAGGCATCAAAATCCCCAGAGGTTGGGGAGGAGAGGTGAAAAACAGCACCCAGAGCCGCAGGCTGGAGGAGTTTGGGTGCTGGATCGACGAAAAGTGTCCAAACTCCTGGCACAGGAGCTGCAGTGGCACTCGGGGTGTCCCAAGGCTGGCACTGCCCACGGGTGGCTTTGCCACCATGATGGGCACAGAGCCCAAATTTCCATGATTTTGGTTTTACAGGAGGGGAATAAAGGCCTCAGAGCAGCCCAGGAGTGTCTGTGAGCAGGAGCAGCAGGACAGGGAGAGTTTTGCAGAACTCTAAAGTTGTCTGGAACATTTTACAGGAGAGGAATATAGGCCTCAGAGCGGCCCAAGAGTGTCTGTGAGCAGGACAGGGAGGGTTTTGTAGGATTCTGGTGATGTCTGGACCATTCTATATGAGGGGAATAAAGGCCTGAGAGTGTCTGTGAGCAGGAGCAGCAGGACAGGGAGGGTTTTGCAGAACTCTAAAGATGTCTGGAACATTTTACAGGAGAGGAATAAAGGCCTCAGAGTGGCCCAGGATGTGGGCCCTGTGAGCAGGGCAGGGAGGGCTTTGCAGGATTCTGGGATGTATGGAAGGTTTTACATGAGGGGAATAAAGGCCTCAGAGCGGCCCAGGAGTGTCTGTGAGAAGGAGCAGCAGGACAGGGAGGGTTTTGCAGGACTCTGGAGATGTCTGGAAGGTTTTACAGGAGGGGAATAAAGGCCTCAGAGTGGCCCAGCAGGACAGGGAGGGTTTTGCAGGACTCTAAAGATGTCTGGAAGGTTTTACAGAGGAATAAAGGCCTCAGAGGGCCCAGTAGTGTCTGTGAGCAGGAGCAGCAGGAGCAGCAGGACAGGGACAGGGAAGGTTTTGCAGGACTCTGGGGATGTCTGGAAGGCTTTCCCTGGAGTGTCCCCGTGGTGGTTTTGCTGCTCTGCCTCTGCTTTTCCTGTTTATTCCCCCAGCGTGGCAGAGCAGGGATTTTGTTCTCTCCATGCTCTGCCTCATCAAGGGAGAGCCGAGCTCGTGGATGCTGCTGTGATGAAAGTGTGGTAATTAGTGGCTGATTAATTTCCCTTTGCTGCATTTCCTGCACGCTCCAGAACCTGCCTGGCTATTTCAGGTCGGGGTTGAGCAGAGGCACAGCCCCGCTCACAGAGTTTCCTTGTCTGATAACTGGAAGGATTACAGCAATAACTGCTGTCAGTGTTTTTCTCATTTAAACAAATAAAGCTGACAAATGCCGAAGTTCTCTGCAGCTCCGTTGTGTTTAGTACACGGAGAGCAATTATTCATCTGCTGCCAGCACCGGTCTGTGCAGCTCCAGCATCCAGCAGAGCCCATTAGCATTTCAGTGCCACAGCCAGCACTTGATATTCTGCACGGTTCTACTGTAAAACAAAAGATGATGGTTCTAATTTGCACAATAATTTAAAGGGTTGGGCTGGCGGTGCTTATTGGAGTTATTGGAGGCGCAGGTAAAATGTCGCGGTGCTTTACGAGGTGCCTGCTTTGATTTGCAGGGATTTTTCACCCGCTGTCACTCCCCATGAAGGATTTTCCCGGTGGTTCCCAAGGTGCAGAGGGGAGGTGGATGTGTTTGCTGGTTGAGAGGAATGGGGGATTTGTCTTTCCAAACAAGCTGTGGGTCTGCTGATGGATAAAACCAGCGCTGGGAGATAAAAGAAAAAATGGGAAGGATTCCACTGATTGATAAATGGAAAAAGATATTTGCCTTTATTTATAAACTTCAGATTTGCGGATAAATTATATTAGACATTGAAAGATGGGGAAGAAAAACCCCTAAATTCCATAAGAATTAAAAATTAAAAGGGAGGATTATACATTAGAGGGGAATCTTTGGGTTCAGGTGTTCTGGGAAGTCTGAACCTCTCAAGTACCTCAGAAATGGGGAAGAAAAACCCTAAATTCCATAAGAATTAAAAATTAAAAAGGAGGGTTACACATTAGAGGGGAATCTTTGGGATCAGGTGTTCTGGGAAGTCTGAACCTCTCAAGTACCTCAGAAATGGGCAAAGAGAGAAGGAAATTGGGATAAAAAGGGAGGCTGCATTCTCTAAAACTTGGATAGACCCCAGGGGAATGCCCCATGGCCTCTGCCTTTATTGGAATAAAGTAAAAGGACTCCTCTGTCTCGTTTTTGGACATAAACCTCTGGTGTTTGTGGATTAATTTTCCTAACACTGGTGAAATATGGGGATGATAAATGGAGAATATTCCTCTCCTCCCAATAGGTTTGCTCTGTGTCGTTGTTCCTAAAACAAATGGAAATAGCTGTGCTTTCTCCATAAACAAAGTACAACTTCCCCCAAAGTCCCCGTGCTCTCCAGAGGTCCTGTCCAGCCCCAACAATTCCGAGATTCTGCAGTTTTAGATGCATTTATTTTGTTAATGGGTGAACTGGGAGGCCTTAAAGAGGACCTGAATTCCTACCTGGCCCATTCTCAAAACGCTGAACCACCAGCTTCCCCAAACCGTGTGTGCTCTTTGTTTGCCACATTAAATACAGGCTGATTTATAGATTAATTAAACGCCGTGTCAATGAAAGGAAGAGCTGGGCTGGAGAATATTCCACCTTAATAAATCTGGAGCTGTAAATGCCTGAATTCACTGACGCCTGCTCAGAAATTTGCAGCACCCCGGAGCCAAGAAATGGCTTCAGCTTTTCTAAAATTCATCATCAAGTGATGACTTTTTCTTGTTTGGTATCAAAATCCTGTCGTCGTGAGCAGGGGCAGCTCCCACACCTCTGCTTCTCTTTGCTGCTTCCCAAAATTATCAGGAGGGAAGGGAGCAGGGTCTGGGAGTGTGAATGGGATCAGCATAGGGAGAGTTTCCCCCCAAGAAGCTGCTACTGGTGGGAATGGGATCCCAAACCTCAGCCAGAGCATCCCTGCTCTGTCCCACCACTCCAATCCCCTCTGAGGGAGCTTCTCTTACCTTAAACCTGGACAAATCACTCTGCAAAATGTTCTCAAGCCAGAATCCAAGGATTTTTTGGCTGGCAGAGCAGGGATGGTTTGGTTCAGGGGGTGCATTTTCCTGGCAGGGGCTCTGGCAGAGCCTTTGTTCCTCAGGGTTTGTTGTCACCGTGTCAGGAAATAAAGGGAGGCTTTGTAAACAGTTTTGTTAAAAACGGCATCAACACGGGGGGAAAACAAAAAGCAGCCAGAAAACCTGTGCTTGTTTGTTGCATGGGAATAAATATTTGAGGCACTGAAGGGATTCTGCAGACAACTTGGGGAGCTGTCCCTGTCTTTGTGTTTCATTGTAAGCCAGGCTTAATGAAAAGAAGTAAAAATCCCCTTTTCCTGTTGCTGGAAAAGTATCAAATATTCTGTATTTTTGTACAGGATTTAAAGCTTGTCTGAGCTTCCCCTCTTGGAGTATCCCCAGTGAACCCTGTCCCTCCTCTTGCCAGAGGAGCACAGCGACTTCCCAGTGCCTTTGAGGAGGGGCTGCCCAGCTGTTAATGATGCCTGAGATTAAGTGGAAGCCAATTTTTATGGAGTTCAGGTTTAGAATCCTTGCTGCTTTATAAACTCCACAGGCATGAAATACGGTGAGATTGGGTTTGTCTCCATTTCCAGTGGAGGGGAAATAACTGCCTGGGGACTGTGCTGGAGGAGAGAGGAGGAAGAACAAGGCCTGAATGTTTTCTATTTTCGTTTAATGTTTTTCTGACTCTTTCAAATGGTTCCCAGTGCCAGGTTTGGATTGGATTTCCTCTCCCAAGGCTGCCATGCCGAGGTGGCTGCAGGGCTGGGGAACATCCCAGGGGTGCCACAGGGAGGATCCTGGAGTCTGGGATTTACCTTTGGGACCTGTCTGGGGCAAATGCTCCTGGTCTGAGTGGCCACAGGTTTGCAAGGGTATGGAGATGTACTTTAAAGACATTTTTAGTGTACTGTGATTGAATGCAGACAAACATTCTGGGTGAAGGAGGCACCAGGGATGAGGATTTTGAGGGAGGAGTTGCAAAGATCATGGTGGGGGCATGTTGTGGTGTTGACAAGGTGAGAGATGAGAACTGACTCCAAGTTCTTAGAAGGCTGATTTATTATTTTATGATATTATATTACATGAAAAGAAAATGATGTACTAAAACTATACTAAAGAAAAAGAAAGGAAACATCAGAAAGCTAGAACAAGAATAAATAATAAAAACTCATGACTGACCAGAGTCCCGACACAGCTGGACTGGGATTGCTCATTAAGTTAAAACAATTCACATGCTGGATAAACAATTCTCCAAATCACATTCCAGAAGAACAAAAGATGGAGAAGCTGAAGCTTCTCATCTTGCCAGGAGAAGAAATCCTGGCGAAGGGATTTTTCATCAAATGTCACAGTGACAGGGGCAATTCATGGAACCCAGTGCATTATGACCTGCTCATCTTACAGAATTTAATTAGTGGCACTACATCACTGTGCAAGTAATTAAGGCTTTGCCCTGATTGAAAAGTGTGGTATTTGCTGGGTCCCCAGGATGAAGGAGGAATTGATGAATCTGACTCCGTGTTCTTAGAAGGCTAATTTATTATTATATTGTATTATATTATATTATATTATATTATATTATATTATATTATATGATATTATATTATATTATATTATATTATATTATATTATATTATATTATATTATATCATATCATATCATATCATATTATGCTATACGAAAACTATACTAAAGAATAGAGAAAGGATACAGACAGAAGGCTAAAAGATAATAATGAAAAACTTGTGACTCTTTCCAGAGTCCAACACAGCCAACTGTAATTGGTCATTAAGTTAAAACAATTCACATGAAACCAATGAAACAATCACCAGTTGGATAAACAATCTCCAAAACACATTGCAAAGGAGCAAAACACAGGAGAAGCAAATGAGATAATTGTTGTTTTCCTTTTTCTCTGAGGCTTCTCAGCTTTCCCTGCCACGAGATCCTGGGCAAAGTGGATTTTTCAGAAAATGTGATGGTGGCATTGTTGGTTAAAGGACAGGTTTGTGTCCCTGCTGATTTGACTCTCTGCCTCTCCCCCTCAGGGCTGAAGGTGAGGGAGGTCTCCATCAACGTGACGAGGCAGCAGGTGGAGGATTTCCATGGCCCTGAGGATTACTGGTGCCAGTGTGTGGCCTGGAGCCACCTGGGCACCTCCAAGAGCAGGAAGGCGTCGGTGCGCATCGCTTGTGAGTACAGCCTGATCAAACCCTGCTCCTCTGGGGTTCTGAGGGGTGGGAATGCTGCATTTGGGGTGAAATACAGTGACTACACCCTGCTTAAACCCTCAGGGGTGGGAACACTGTTTTTGGGGTGAATTACAGTGAGTACACCCTGCTGAAACATAAAAATGTCACTGGGAGCTGCAGAAATGGAAATACTCCAAATGCCCCATAGACAGAAGGACAGCACAACATAACCCCAAAAGCAAAACTGTCCCTAGGAGCTGCAAAAGGAAATGTTCCAAATGCCCCACAGCCAGAGGGACAGCACAGACATGACCCCAAAACAAAACTGTCACTGGGAGCTGCAAAAGGGAGCTGTTCCAAAACTGTCCCTGGGAGCTGCAGAAATGGAAATACTCCAAATGCCCCGCAGACAGAGGGACAGCAGGGACACAACCCCAAACACAAAATTGACACTGGGAGCTGCAAAAAGGGAAATGTTCCAAATGCCCCACAGCCAGAAGGACAGCAGGGACACAACCCCAAACACAAAACTGTCAGTGGCAGCTGTAAAAAGGGAACTGTTCCAAAGGCCCCACAGCCAGAGGGTCAGTGGGGACATGACCACAAACACAAAATTGTCACTGGGAGCTGCAAAAAGGGAAATAATCCAAATGCCCCACAGCCAGAGGGACAGCAGGGACACAGCCCCAAACACAGAACTGTCACTGGGAGCTGCAAAAAGGGAAATGTTCCAAATGCCCCACAGTCAGAAGGACAGCAGGGACAGGACCCCAAAACAAAACTGTCACTGGGAGCTGCAAAACTGGAAATGTTCCAAAACTGTCCTTGGGAGCTGCTAAAAGGGAAATTTTCCAAATGCCCTACAGCCAGAGGGACAGCAGGGGCAGGACCCCAAACACAAAACTGTCACTGGGAGCTGCAAAAAGGAAATGTTCCAAAACTGTCCCTGGGAGCTGTGAAAGGGGAAATGTTCCAAAAGCCCCACAGCCAGAGGGACAGCAGGGACACAACCCCAGACACGGCTGTGACCACGAGCTGCTCCAAGCCTCATCCCATTCCTGGAATCAGACCTGGGATATTTTCCTGGCAGAACCAGAGTCTTCAAGCAGAGAATTCAGGGATTGCTCCCCCAGTCTGTGGTGAGCCCCCAGCTCAGATTTTCTGTTTCCCCTCCTGGAAAAGAAGGTGCAGCCTGCTAAAAGCTTGGAGAAACATTCCCTGGGAGAGGAGAGCAGGAGCAAGGGGAGAACCCGAAGGGAGACTTTCCAGGGAGTGCGCCAGCAGCTCCTGACAATATAAAAAGGTGTCTTTTACCAGGGTAAACATTTAACAGGATAAAACAAACATTTGTCAGAAGTAAAAGGACAGTGTAAGAAAACCTTCATTTCATTAACGGCGGATTTTTTTCTTTTTGTTGGCTGATTCAGTCTGAATGTCTAAATACGTGTAAATTCAATTTTTTATTTCACTGCATTAACTGTCATAACACTGAGCCAATAATTCCCCTGCATTGCCGAGCTGAAAGGACCTTTATCTGAATTGAATTTTTATTGACTTTTCTCCGCGCTGTGATTTCCCAGCCCCACAAAATGGCAATTTGAGCCAGGCTCAGCGTGAGCGGGAGCAGGAGGCGCCGTGTGCTGGGGCTTTTCAACCCCTCACTGTGGGAGCAATCCTTCCCAAGACCCCATTAACCCCAGAGTGCTCTGGAGAGGCTCTTCAGCCCGGCCTGGAGGGCTCTGGGGGTGCCTGGTGGCTTTGTGTGGGAGCTGAGCTCCTCTCTGCCCCTTCCTGGGCTGTTTTTCTGCTCAAAGCCCAGTGATTTGATGGGGAAAGCAGCAATTCCGGAGGGCAGAGCTGAAGGGGCACAGCAGGAACACTCTGGGGTGGGATTTATGGCTTGGAAGGATCAGGGATGAGACCCTGCAGGTCCAATCTCTGACAGAACCCAGAACGTTCTCCCATCCCCTCTGAAGAACCAGCAGCTTTATTTCATCCCCCTTTTTTTTTTTTTTTGCACTGAATTTCTGATATTTCTGAATTGTGAGTCAAGTCCACAGTGTTGCAGCACTTTATATTTCTCCAAAGAAGCAGGTGAGTATTTCTTTGTGCTAGTGGGGAAGGCAGAGCAAAGGGATCCTGCTCCATTTTTCACCCTAATAAAGGCATTTGTAGGCACAAGAGCAGCCCGGCTGTTAATGATTGCCTTCTTAAAGGGAGCACTGGAAAAGAAATTGGTTGTCTGAAGGGGGGAAAAAATCAACATTAACAAAGAATCATGGAAAGGAGCATGCAGGCACCGCGAGCATCTTTGTGCAGGCAGCAGCTTGCTCAGATAATTCTGAATGCGTTTTGGAAAATGCAGTGCCAGGGCTGTATTTCATCAGCTGTGAGCAAGGCAGGGAATGAAGTCAGTAAATCCCCACCGTGGAGCCTGAAGCGCTGGGAGCACAACGAGAGCTCCTGAAGGAACATCCTCCAGCAGTGGGGAAAGCGCCAATCACTTGGTTTTTTAAAAATTTTAAAAGTTTAATAGTAATAAAATGGTTATAAAAATAGGAATATAATTAGAGTAATGATAATATGGATTATTTGGATTAGGACAATACGAGGCAATAAAAACAAAGAGTTATGGACGGTCCAGGTACCTCTTTCTGGGCAAAATAAGCCCAAAAAGGACCCAGGATTAACTGTTAAAAACAACAGCCTGTTGCATATTCATACACCTCATACATGATGCATAAATTCTATTCAAACAAAGGATTCTGTCAGTGTCAACTTCTTCAGTCCTGGTAGATTCTTGAATCCAAGGAATGCCAATTGTGATGAATCCTTGCATCCAAGAAATGCCAATCCTAATGAATTCTTGTATCCAAGGAATTCCAATTGTGATGAATTCCTGCATCCAAGGATTGCCAATCCTGATGAATTCTTGCATCCAAGGATTTCCAGTCCTGGTGAATTCGTGCATCCAAAGAATGCCAGTCCTGGTGAATCTTGCATCCAAGGATTGCCAATTGTAATGAATTCCTCCATCCAAGAAATGCCAGTCCTGGTGAATTCGTGCATCCAAAGAATGCCAGTCCTGGTGAATCTTGCATCCAAGGAATGCCAGTCCTGATTAATTCTCCCATCCAAGGATTGCCAATTGTGATGAATTCTTGCATCCAAGAGTTGCCTATCCTGGTGAATTCCTGAATCCAAGAAATGCCAATCGTGGTGAATTCCTGAATCCAAGGAACACCAAAGGTGATGAATTCTTTCCTCCAACCCTGCAGATCTTCGGAAGAACTTCGAGCAAGACCCCCAGGGCAAGGAGGTTCCCATCGAGGGGATGATCGTCCTGCACTGCCGGCCCCCCGAGGGCGTCCCTGCTGCCGAGGTGAGCTTGGGGTGGGCACAGGTGTGACTGTGTTCACAGGGGTCTTAGGATGAGGGGAGAGACGAAGATCTGACTCCATCTTTCAAAAGGCTTGATTTATTATTTTATGATATATATTACATTAAAACTATACTGAAAGAATAGAAGAAAATGTTTCATCACAGAAGGCCAGCTAAGAATAGACAAAGAAAGAATGATAACAAAGGTTTGTGGCTCAGACTCTCTGTCTGAGACAGCTGACTGTGATTGGCCATTAATTAGAAACAACCACATGAGACCAATCACAGATGCACCTGTTGCATTCCACAGCAGCAGATAACCATTGTTTACATTTTGTTCCTGAGGCTTCTCAGCTTCTCAGGAGGAAAAAATCCTAAGGAAAGGATTTTCCATAAAAGATGTCTGTGGCACACGGGGGCACAAGGAAAACCTTTGGGATGGGGGAAGCACAGGGCTCAGCTCCTGTGTAGTGCTCCTTGTCCTTTTCTCCCCCAGAACGTTTCAAGTGTCCTTTTTTGATTCATTAGCTTTACAAAAATGTGGCTTTTTATCCAAATTCTGGACTGTTTTGCTGAGAAATCCTGGGTTTTCGGGCAATTTTCAAGCCCTGTGCTTTCAAACTGAAAGCAGATTGTTGCACATTTTCCCAGGAATTACTTTCCTCCTCAAAAAAACAAGGCAAAGTAAAAGGCAAACCTAAAAATATTATGATAAATGGTTGCTGGGGAGAGAAAATCTGCTGCAAGTAATAATTTGGTGGGGCTTGGCTTCGCTTTAAACAGGCTTTTTTGTGATGAGAGCTGGATCTTAACAGGAAAACCATGGGGGTGCCTTAAAATGGCAATAACCAGGCTGCTCTTGGAGGGAGAGGTTCAGAGTGGGTCCTGTTTAAAAATCTGCTGCAGGGGCTTTAAAACCCAAGGAAACGTTGAATTTTTAATTGCACCCTGTAGTTCCCTGCAGCACCTTCTGGGCAATGAGAGCTGCTGGATCACTCAGGAGTTGGTTTTGCCCCTTTTCCCCAGCGTGGCTGGGCTTGGTAATGAAGGAAGAAAAGGAAAATAAACCCCAGAGAAATGTGTGCTTTTAGTTAATGAGAAGGGATTGGAGCAGATGTCCCTGGAAATAAAGAGGAGAAAAGCAGAGGCACCAGCAGTGAGGCAGAAGTGCTCGAGGAGAGGAAAATGAGGCAGAGATGGGCTCGGCGAGTGGCTGGGTTTGTGTGCAGGATTTGCTCTGCCAGGGCAATCTCTGCTCCCACCTTCTCCTCAGCTCTCTGGTATTTTCACTCATTACCAGGAAAATGGATGGTGCATTGCAGGGAATTGCCAGGACTGCCGAATGCATGTGCTCTGGAAAATGGATCTGCTTTGGAGGCAAGATAAACCTCCACAGGTGTGGCTCCCCAAATACCCTCAGTCTGATTGGATTTTACTGAGAATTTTACATTTCTTTGAACTGGCAGCTTTACATTCCCCACTTAAACAGGGAGCCTGTCTTTTGTGGAAGGTAGGAATTATGTCCAATGAAAACCTGACATTTTAATTGCTTGCTCCAGATAAAAGTGGTGGAGTTCCCAATGAACCCTGATTTACTGCTGTTGACAGTAAAATTGCTATTGCTGCTAATAAAGCTGGTAAATCTCACCAGGTCAGATTTGCTTTGGCCAATAAAATGTCCCATAAAGGCTCAGGCTAATTCTGGGCTCGTCGAGGTAAAGAGTCTGCTGGAAATAATTCAGTGTCTTTAGAAAGTGGGTTAAACCCGTTAGAGCAGGCCTGGCTCTGGGCTGGGGGGATAAACTCAGCTTTATTTCAGAGTTAAAGCACAGATTAACACAGGCTGGGCAATGACTGAGCCACAAAGGCTTCCTCAAAAATCTCCAATTTTTTTTATTTTATTTGTTCCGTGGGCGCTGAGCGGTGCTGAGGGTTTCAAACCCCCGTGCTGGCAGAGAATCCCTGGTTGTGATCCAAGAATTGATTTCGTTAGAGCTTGGATGCAGCCCTGGATGGAAACATAAGGCTGGAAAGAACTGGGACAAAGGAGCTTGTCTAGTGTTTCATGACAGGCAGAGTGGGGCATTGTCGGTGTTTGTGAAACCCAAAAGAACGGGAAACGAGGGGGAAGGAGGCTCCAGCTCATCCCTGCTCCTGCAGAACCCCTCCCTCGGGAGGGTTTGGTTATTCCAGGTCCAGAGCTTCAATAATTCTGTCAGAATTTGGTTATTCTAATTGCAAAGCTCCAGGAATGCTGTCAGAGTTTGGTTATTTTAATTGCAGAGCTTCAAAAATGCTGTCAATTTGATTATTCCAAGTGCAGAACTTCAGGAACATCATCAAAGTTTGGTTATTCCAGGTCCAGAACTTCAACAACTTCGTTAGAGTTTGGTTATTCCAAATGCAGATCTTCAGGAATGCTGCCGGAGTCTGGTTATTCCAATTGCAGAACTTGAGGAATGCTGGCAGAGTTTGGTTATTTCAGGCCCAGAGCTTCAGGAATGCTGTCAGAGTTTGGATATTCCAAGTGCAGAACTTCAGGAACACTGTCAGAGTTTGGTTATTCCAATGGCAGAACTTCATGAATGCTGTTGGAGTTTGATTATTCCAGGCCCACAACTTGAGGAATGCTGTTGCAGTTTGGTTATTCCAGGTGCAGGACTCCAGGAATGCTGTTGGAGTTTGGTTATTGCAGATCCAGAGCTTCAGGGACACTGTCAGAGTTTGGTTATTGCAGATCCAGAACTTGAGGAATGCTGTCAGTTTGATTATTTCAAGTGCAGAACTTGAGGAACACTGTCAGAGTTTGGTTATTCCAAGTGCAGAACTTCAGGAACACTGTTGGAGTTTGATTATTCCAGGTCTAGAACTTCAGGAATGCTGTTGGAGTTTGGTTATTCCAGAACTTCAGGAACACTGTCAAAGTTTGGTTATTCCAATTGCAGAACTTGAGGAATGCTGTCAGTGTTTGGTTATTCCAAGTGCAGATCTTCAGGAATGCTGTTAGAATTTGATTATTCCAAGTGCAGAGTTTCAGGAATGCTGTCAGAGTTTGGTTATTCCAGGTGCAGGGAATTCTCTACAAAGCAGAGAATGAGACTTTTTCCACAGCTCTGCTTGGGGAGGGTGCTGGGCTTTGGGGCACCCTGGGTGCCTCAGCACAGCAGGAAGAGAGGAAGAAAACCCAAATCCCAGTGCTGGGCAGGTTGGAAAAGGCTTTTAAATCCTCTCCTCACGCATTTACATAGCAAGCAGAGAGAGCTGGTGAGCAGCTGTGCTTGCAGCCATCGGCACCCAACCCAAATAAATTCCGTTTTTATGAGTTAAGCATCGAAATGCAAAAAGAAAATTCAGCATTTAAATAGAGCAGCTGAAAATCCCCCGCTGAGGCAAATGTTGATTCAGCTCTGGAGAGGCTCTGCTGGCTCGGGCTCGGTGGGACCAGAGCCTTTTGTTCACCATGGATGGGAGCTGGCCTGGGCAGGAGGCAGCTCTGGGCCCCTCAGCAGCCTCTGCAGGGAGAGAATGGGGAATTGCGAGCGGGAATTGTGTGTGGGAATTGTGAGCGGGAATTGTGTGCGGGAATTGTGAGCAGGAGGGAGAGAATGGGGAATTGTGAGCAGGAATTGTGTGCAGGAATTGTGTGCAGGAATTGTGAACAGGAATTGTGTGCAGGAATTGTGGGCAGGGATTGTAGGCAGGAATTGTGGGCAGGAACTGTGTGCAGGGATTGTCAGCAGGAATTGTGTCCTTTGGCTGGGGAGATATTTAGTTTAATAATATCTCACGGAGTTATTGAAGAATCGTGTGCAGGAATTGTGTCCTTGGCTCAGGTTGTGCTCATGAGGGACCCTCAGGGAGATATTTAGGATAATAATGATAACAACAATAATAATAATAATAATAATTATATCTCAGGGAGATATTGAGGAATTGTGTGCGGGAATTGTGTGCAGGAATTGTGTCCTTGGCTTGGCATGTGCTCCTGAGGGACCCTCAGGGAAATATTTTGGATAATAATAATAATAATAATAATAATAATATTAACTATAGTAACCACCATAATATCTCAGGGAGATATTTAGGAAGTGTGAGCAGGAATTGTGTGCAGGAATTGTGTCCTTTAGCTCAGGGTGAGCTCCTCCAATCCCTCAGCAGCCCCTCTGCAGGGAGATATTTCAGAACTGTGTGCAGGAATTGTGTGCAGGAATTGTGTCCTTTGGCTCAGGGTGTGCTCCTGAGGGACCCTCAGGGAGATATTTAGGATAATAACAATAACAATAACAATAACAATAACAATAACAACAACAATAATAATAATAATAATAATAATAATAATAATAATATTCTTATTATTATTATTTCAGGGAGAAAGACATAACTTTCTAAAAACACAAAGTCAAATCCGTCATCTCCTCCTTTTTCCTAAAGACCCAGCACACACTGCCAGAGGGGTTTCCTCTCTGAGCTGAGCTGGAGTCGGTGACAGGAGCATTTCCCTGCAATGAGGAGCAGGGACAGCTCTGCTCTGTCACCCTGAGCAGCTCAGGAGGAATCAGGGTGACTGACAGGTCCTGCAGCAGTGGCAAACACAATGAATTCCACCCTCCTCGCTGGTAATTCCTCCCAGCTCCTGCTTCCCCCCAGCCCTGGGGCTGCTGTCAGAGCTGTAACCTGGAAAATCCTTGGTCAACACCCATTTAATGAAGTTTGGGATAATCTCTGAGCTGTGTGTTCGGCCTTATTGGTGCCTCAGAGTGTAAAATATTAATTCTGCCGAGTACAGCAGCGCAAAAAGAAGTGTTTAGGTGGCTGGTAATCCTTCAGGCAGGTGTGGTGGGGTGCTGGGGAGTGTCACTGCTGCCTCCTCCATCGGTGACAAGTGGCATTCAGATTTCTCAGCTGTCAGGGCTTGTTCTTGTTTCATTCAGTGGGCTTGAAAATCAGGTTTAAAAATGTTCCTTTGACTGGACAGGGAGCTGCCATTCCCTGCACTGGAGC